CTTTCAAATTGTGGGTGCCTGTCTGCAGAGGAAAGCATAGCCGTGTTCCCAAACCTGTAATTTTGGGGTGTGATACTTTTATTGGAAACTTGCAAGAGCTTCTATTCTATATCTTTTTATAGATTTTTTTAGGCCATATGGCCTTAGTAGCAGGGCAGCAGACATTTCAGCCCAGACCTGCTGCAGAGAACTTACTTGCTCTAGGCCCACTCAAAAATGTGAGTCTTACAGTTTACTAGGTAAATGGATTGATGAGACATGCCCTAATAAGGTATGTAGGCATTGTCTCCAAAATCTCAGGAGGCCTTCCAAATGATAAAAAGTGTAGCAAGTTTTTTCTAGAAAGGGTATCCTGACATGTCTCAGACCACTGGATCCCTAAAAACGTTATTGATGTGACTGGACCCTGAATTTTTTTATTCATTTTATTCATTTTATTACTTGCATCTAGAGTGTTTACTATTGTTGGGAGACACAGTTCACCATGGGCCCTGAGCAGACCTACACATTCTTACTGGCTATGCCAAGAATACAAAGCCCTGATTAATTGGTACCCAGGCTATTTCCCAGGATTGTGTTTGCAGAGAGCAATCTTTTTAAAAAAAAATTTTATTTTAAAGATGTAGGGTACAATTCAGGGTTAGGTATTCAAATGGTCATTCTACAGGTAAAGTTTGGGCCTCATATTGGTCCCCACTTCACCTGGTTTGAGATCAGGTACCCTTATTGATGAAGTGTGCTCCCCCCCCACCCCCTGCATCCTTTCCCCTCCAGAGCAGTCTTGAAGGATGACATGATATCTCCCTGCACGGCATAGTACCATAACAGCAGTTGAATCTCCAGCTCAGTGCTCCTCATCTGCAATGCAGCCTACACTGTGTGCAGGTATCCATCATGGCCCCTTGGTATTGCCCCATGAGAATTGGGGAGCACGGAGAATCAATATGAATGAATATGCTGACACCCTGGCTACTGTTTTTCTATGCGTAATACAGTCTTGTCTCTAACCCAGGTTTATCATATCTTCTGCTGGAATTTATGAAATTGGCAGGCTAGCATTTTAGTGTACAAGAGGGGTAAAACCTCAGACTGGCACAGTGCTTGACAACTACTTCTTGCTCATCAGGTTTAATTAGCAAATGTCATAATATAATGGACCAGTGTGATATTTTGAGTGCTGTCAATAAGATCCAGGTCTTTCTGGATAATATTACAGTATAGGCAGAAGATTGGACCAGCTCTCAGGCAAGACAGTAATGCTATAGTATTGTCCTATCACATAACCACAAATTGCTTCAGTTTTTCCATACTGGATGAATGGGGGAAACAAGAAAATGCATTTGCTTGCTCAGCAGCAGCAATCCAGCTGGCAAAGGGGTGTTGATGTGTGTATAATGATAACACATTTGAAGCTGAAGTAGTAACTGATATCGTCATCTAATTGCTGCAATATATTGCCATTCTCCAGGACCCATATGGCTTTTGCACTGACCGAATGAGCAGGTAAGTTGGTATATGGATGTAATCACTATCCCAACATCACTCAAGCCTTCAGAACAATCTCTGAATTGGAGGGATGGGAAAAGGACATTTTCAGGGGCTTCTACTTGACCTTTCCTATCACAGTCACCCTCACTCCCGGGATCTGAGAATGAGTGTGATAGTGAGGTCAGTAAGTATTGCCATCTTGTATTCTGGAACTGGATAGATCCAATGGACACTCTGTGAGACAGATTCAGATCTAGATGCCATCTATCATCTTTTCTCTAGAAGCTCCCATTATGACTGGTGTTCTACAGTGGCATTTTAGGTTTCTGGAGTATAGCAGAAAGGCAGAGCCATTATCTAATGACTGTTACAAGATCAGGTTATTTCCCTGGTCCCAATCCACAGTCAAATTAACAAATGGCTACAGTTCCCTCTGGGGAAACTTTGAGTGAAGACTTATAGTATATCCTTGCAACATGAATATGTTTTTTTCTCAGAGGCCAAGACTTTATTTCACCAAGGAGCTTTGGGTCTGTGAACTGTCATAGGCTTGGGAAGAGGCTGTGAATGCCACAACATTGACTTCAATTAGGTTCCCGCTTTGCAGATGTAGTATTTTTCTGCCTGTATATGTCAAACAGCGCCATAATATACTGTTCTGGAAACCCTTGAGAAATTGACCAATGCCACAATCTGTGTCTCTACTATTCAGTCCTTGGCATATTGCAGTAAGTGCTTTACTACCTTGTCTATTAATTGCCAACCAGCCCTGACCACTTATGGGTCTTGTCAGTCACATGGAAATCAGAGAATGTATTTCTATTGTCACATCCTCTATCATCATTTCTGGCCTATAAAGAGCAATCACCCAGATATTTTCAAGGATTCTGGAGTCCTGATTAATGCATTTATCAGCACCTTGATAAGGGCAGATTTAGGGGTTGGGGGACTTTTATATTTAGGAGTGGGTTGGCTACCTTAGCCTAAAGAGATAGTGTGGTTGAACATTTAAATAGTGCTGCCATATTTACAACTCAACCAATGTGCTTACTATCTGATATTTGGGTTTAATTCTTATCCATATATTCCCTGGATAAGAATTAAACCCAAATATCTGATAGTAAGCTTCTACTGATGCCTTTGTGTTCTCAAATAATGTTCTTTGTTGTCTGTTTCATAGATTTTCATTTTCTTTTCCCCTGTGTATACTCTCTAGGGTGGTCAGGTTAAACCAGGCACATTTTCATTTTTTATAGTCATTCATTAAACAATGGTATAGCAACTATGTGCCATGTGCACTTGATCTTTGAATGAGTTGCTCTCTGTATACACTTTATCTCATGCTACCACCCATGATAATTTGAGTAATCCTGATACTACCACATGCCTTGGATCATCATGAGCTATTTTGCCCTAGCAAGAGTTTATCACTGCGCTCTTCTATTATGAGCAACTCAGTTGTAGAATTTTATATAAGCGGCAATATCCTAAGGCCTCTGTTATATCAGTGAGGGTCACAAAGTTAACTATTGTCCCACTGCAATTTAGTATAATTCGAGGAAAGGTTGATATAGGGAATATTTACAAAGATGTGCCAGGGATATAGGAGAACTATAAAAGCGATAGTGCAATATCTTGGTGCTGTTAACAACATGCTATTCCCATGTAAACAGAGAGAAAAGTATCCTCGCCTCCCTCTTCTCCCATAGTGACCTCTCTCTCTTCTGAAGCAAAATAGAACCCACTGAATAAGAAAACCTATTTATGTAGCAAATACGGATTAGTATCCCAATAGCCGAGAGCTAATGGATGGAGCAAATAAAACATATACAATACAGTTCATTCTGATTTTTTTAAATGTGAGGCAACAGCATTGTTTTATGTAAAAGAAAATTAGAAAAAGTAAGCAAATATGAACAAAATTGTGCTATTAACATGCTAAGATTTGAAACAAACATTTGAGTTACTTAATCTAAAGAAGATTTATATTTGGGCTGTTTATTTGATGAGTAATATTCATAGTAAGAAATAAAAATATAAATTACATTTATTTGAAAATAACTGTAATTCATATTAACATTTTTGCTAAAAATAAAACTGTAGTAGTAGTCTCATATGCATCAGTCCTGAGGCCTTCAAAACCCTCAATGGGCTCTGTGGGTCAAGCCTGTAATCCCAGAAATGTGGGAGGCCAAGGCGAGAGGATTGCCTGAGCCGAGGGGTTTGAGACCAGACTTGGCAACTTGGTGAAACCTCGTCTCTGCAATATATCAGAAAATTTAGCCCAGTGTGGTAGTGGGTGCCTGTAGTTCCAGCTACTTGGGAGGCTGAAGCAGAAGGATTTCCTAAGCCCACCAGGTTGACTCTGGGGTGGCTGTGAGCGTGCCACTGCACTTCTGGCGACACAGTGAGACTCTGACTTAAAAAACAAAAAAGAAAAAGAAAAAAAAAAAAAGGAAAAAAAAACCTCTATGAAAAATTTTATTTGTTTAAAATTGTTAAGGTTCTTCAGGTTAAATTGGCTGTTATTGAATATAGTTTCTTATCTCATCTTCCTCATTTTGTTTTTCCACTCAAACTTCCTTTTATACATGTTTTGTGTAGCCATACATGCATTCAGACTTTTTTCTTTTTTTTTTTTTTAAATAAATTTCCGATTGCCTTTAGAGGCTATATGGTATAGTGGATAAGAGCAAGACTAGGGGCAAACTGATAATCCTGACTTTGCCACTTCCTAGTTAGCTGTTTGCTCTGTATTCCTCATCTGTGAAATACAAATAATGGCATCTATGCCCTATGAGATACATTATAAATTTAAAGTGAAAGTTGAGATAAATATGTAAAGGGTTTTAAACAATCCCTGGCATAGAATAATATGTAAACAATAATCATTATTATTAGATACCTACAACTAAAATTAAGAAGCTATTTGTCAAGGTCATTGCCTGCCAAAACAATCACTTGTGAATTATTGGGAGTCTCAGATTTCATTTGTTTACCTAGTTTTGCCTCCCAGTACCTCGAGAAAAAACTGCAAACAGCATATAAATGTACTGAGCCCCTGCTATGATCAATCACTACAAGTAAGCAAGTTCACACAAACTGTTTCATTTTCTTTACAGTTCTCCTTCGACCCGGTGCACTGCGAAATCTAATATAATTTTGTGAGGGGGGATATTGTACGAGAGGAGTGACTTAAACCAATTTTTGCCTACTTAACAGTTTTACCTAAGGTCGTACTGGGCAGCCGCAATGATCACTCCATTTACCGTGGAAATGCTGTCAATCTCTTCCCTTCAACATCACCGGTTTCCGGAACCTAAAAGCGAATTTCAATTCTCGGCCACGGGTTTCAGGGAGTGGCCAGGATCCCCCCGCCGCCTTTGCTTCCCCCCCAGAGGGCCATTGGCAGTCCGAGGCAATAATTTAAATAAGGCGCGGCCGTTCCGTCGGCCCGGGCTGCTGCTCACTGATTGGCCACCGGGCGAGGGAGGCGGTGCCCGGAGGGGCCCATTGGTGGAGGCGGGAAGTTTAAACAGAGGCGAAGCGCCGTACTCGTTCCGTCTCTCTTTTGAATCTGCGAGTTTGTGGGCCCGCTTCCTTTTGTCCTGGGGTGTAGTCTGCCGGAAAAGGAGAGGGCCCGAATCCGCCCACGCAGTCTCCACTGCCGCCCCCGAGGGTCCTCGGCCAGCGTACGTCCTGAAACCCGCTCCCGAGCAGCGGGAGCGGGGGCAGGAGGGCCGGGCCGGGTCTCCAAGCCGCCATGGCGGCCCGGCGAGCGGGGCGAAGCTGCTGGGCGGCGAGCCCCACCGCGCGGAGGTCGCCAGTGAGGCTGCTGGACCCCGCGGCCGAGGAGGAGGCGCCTTCGACGCCGGTCCTTTCTCTCAGCCACTTCTGCAGGTCTCCTTTCCTCTGCTTCGGGGATGTGCGCCTGGGGTCCTCGCGGACGCTGCCTCTGGCCCTGGACAACCCTAACGAGGAGGCGGCCGAAGTGACGGTCAGCCGCTTGCCGGCCGCGGACCTGGGCTTCCGCGTGTCGCCGCGCCGTTTGGTGCTGCAGGTAGGTGTAGGGAGGGGCGTGCCCCGGGCCGGTGCTCCCCGTCCCCGCTGTCTTTGTCGTCACCTTCCCTACGAGGAACGAGGCTTAGAAAGGAGCCTTCGCGCCCTTAAAAAAAAAGCCCCTAGAGAATCGGGGCCTTCAGTCAATAGCTGTTGGTGGGCCGTTAATCCACGTGTTTTTCTTTCTCTGTTAAAGGCTAGGGTAAGCGGTAGCTTAGGCGGTGACAGCACTTGGACGCGCGCGCGTCTTCCATTTTTAGAAGCATTTTTGATAGACGTCTCGATTAAAGTAACAAGCGTTTTTAAATAGGCTTCAGGCCTTGCAGATTACTCTCGCAGTTGTAAATTAATAAGCGGGGACAAAGAACCACTCTTTTTTAGGGTTGACAGGAGTACAGCTTTTTGTGGTTGCTTCCTAACAGCCATCTTAATATTAGTCTCCGTATGTATCTTTAGCATCAAGGTAACTACTTTTTCTGGTAAAATAGTGAGCTTTGTTTTGGCAAAGTGGCCACCATGACAAACAAACAAAAACCTTTGGAATTGTTTTCAGTATGCATATGTAGTGTGTATGCACACTTTAATATTTTCATCCTTTATTATTGTTATTTTGGTGTTTGTGTAATTTTGATGGTGCATCAAATTTAATTTTTAATGCTATTTCAAGAATCTCACTCGTAGCTTTTACTGCTTTGCATTAGCCAGAATGATGTTTGAATCTCCATCAACAAAACCCAGAGAATTTATGTTCTTCTTTTGACTGCTGTGGCCTTTCCATTAAGTAGAACCTCCGAAAGTGTGCAAACCATTAGCTGAGGAGGCCTGAACTAGTAGGCTAAAAACTACTTAATCAGGCTGTAAAAAGAGACTCTAATCTGAGGTTCCTTAACCGGTGACATCTGTGGTTCATTCTGTACTTCAGAACCTGCCCACCTCCCCCTCCCTTCTGTTTTACTCCTTTGAATCACTGCCTGCTTTCCTTCTTTGGATAGATTTCTTTCCTGTCTACATAATACTTTAACTTATTGCTTTTTGTTATAATGTGGAAATAAAAATTTTGTTATTGTTTTTAGAATAAATTATGTTAGTAAAAATTTACTGCTCTTATTTTTGAAAACCAGCTGATGTCATATGGTTTATCCTTTAAACTTCGTCTGTTTAAAATAACCTTTAAAAACTTGTCTGTTTCTCCTGTTCTGTCATGTCAGAATACTGCATTTGGCAGATTGTGTCTACCTGCCAGCGGGTTGGATGTAGATGGTAAAGTCTGAACCCTGGAGTCAGACTGCCTTGGTTCTGATAACTAGCTGTATGGCTTTGGCAAAGCTTTCTGGATATTAGTTACTTTACAAAATGTCCATAATCATAGTACCTGCTTCTTTGGGATGTGAGCATAAAGTGAGTTATATAAGATTTCTGTACCTGTGCCTGGAATACAATAATTATTTAACCAATATCGGTATGATCATGTGGACATTAGAGGAGTTTATGAGGAAGAAGTAATTTAGTTGATCATCTTTATATTTCTTTCTAAATAAAGTCTTCATAATACAAGTTTATTATATTTTATTTTATTTTATTTATTTATTTTTTTTGAGTTGGAGTCTCACTCTGTCGCCCAGACTGGAGTGCAGTGGCCGCTCCTGGCCACTGCAGCCTCGACCTGCTGGTCTCCGGCGATCCTTCCACCTCAGCCTTCCGAGTAGCCGGAATTACAGGCATGTGCTACCACGCCCGGCTGATTTTTTGATTTATTGTAGAGATGAGGTCTTGCTACCCAGGTGGGTCTCGAACCCGTGGGCTCAGGCAATCTACTCACCTCAGCCTCCCAAAGGCGCAGGATTACAGGCTGAGCCACCGAGCCCGGCACAGTTTACTATATTTTAAAAAGAAGTACTGTATTATCTAAAGAAGTAAAAATATACAATAAAGTTTTTAGAACCATTCAAATAAAGTGACTTGAAGACTGTTCCATTGCTTTCATACCATTTAGATTTTATTATAACTTTATTTTTTTTGTGAATCCTGTTATTACTAATGACTTTCTTTATTATAATGCAATGAGCAGGTAGGGTAAAAAAAACATTTGACTTGTTAAATGCTTAGGGTTTAGAATGTTGGTGACCAACAACTATTAATCTCTATATTGTTAGTTGTATATAATGTGTTTTGGTTATTTTATAATTTCTATTGTCAGTCATTTAAAATATATTCTTTTTATTATAGCCTAAGGAAAAAATTGTTATTTCTGTTACCTGGACACCATTCAAAGAAGGCCGTGTAAGAGAGACTGTGACATTTCTTGTAAATGATGTTCTGAAGCATCAAGCTATATTACTAGGAAATACAGTTGAGCAGAAAAAGAAGAAGGTAATGCTTTAATCATTCTGGGCTTTACTCTAAGAAAATGTTTAATAATATGTAAAAGTTATTTTGATAACATACTTGAAGTAACATACATAATATTGCTTATTTAAAGGTAATCTTCAGTGGCCATCAACTTAATTGGCATATTTTGCTTATTTTTGCAGAGGAGTCTTTGGGATACCATTAAGAAGAAGAAAATTCCAGCCTCTTCAAGTCAGAACAGAAGAGTTTCACATATTAAAAATGTTAATAGAACATTTAATGTTTCCCAAAAAGTTGACAGAGTTAGGAGCCCACTGCAAGCTTATGAAAATTTGGCTATGAATGAAGGCTACTCCTCAAGAGAAAACAATTCTTTAACCCTTGAAGAAATTAAAATACCCCTGTCACCTATTAGCCCCACTGTCAAAGAGTGCCATGGTGAAGTCTGCTTGCCACTTTCTATACGTCGATCTACTCCCTATTCATCTCTTAATGCATCAGAAAATGGGGAGCTAGTGAAAGTAGATGACAATATTTCAAAATATTATACTGAGAAAGTCATTACAGAAACTTCCTTTAGTTCCATAAATATTAATGGCAAAAGTGAAGATAATAGTGAACTTATTCTTACTCCAAACTACTCTTCAAATCTGAACATTACACAAAGCCAAGGAAAGTTTCTAAGTCCAGATTCTTTTGTAAATGATAACTATGTAGCTAATAATGAAGTAGAATTAGTGGCATGTCTTTCATCAGATACACTTAAGAAAGATAATTCAAAGCCTGTGCATTTGGAATCAAAAGCTGTACATGAAATTTATCAGACAGTTTTAAGTCCAGATTCCTTCATAAAAGATAATTATGGACTAAATCAGGATCTACAATCACAGTTGATTAATCCCATTTTGTCCCCAAATCAATTTGTAAAATATAATGTGACATATGGGTGTACATCTCAGCAAACATGTAAATTATCACCAATACCAAACGAAAATTCTCAAGTCCTACAGTCTCCTCAAGATTGCAGAAAAAGCGAAGTTTTGCCATGTATTTCTGAATGTCAAATTTCAAAATCTCCCAAAACTATGTTTGAAGAAACTGTAGAAACGAAGTCAAATGACTACAGTTTTATAAAAAAAAGTCATCCTAAATTTTCTGTAGTTCAGGATATTTCTAGTTATAACTACAATAAACCTAAAAGACGCCCTGTACTTTCTGCCACTATTACCAAAAGGAAGCCCACCTATGCCAGAGAAAACCAAACTGACATTAATAAACCAAAAACAGAAAGATGTCTCGACAGTTCAGTAGGTGAATGTGAAAAAGTAATAAATAATCAAAAGGAGAAAGAAGTTTTTCATGCTTATCTTCCAATTATAGATCCAGTATTAAGTAAACCTAAGAGTTATAAAAATGAAATGACTCCCTCTTCAGTGACAGCTTCAGTTGCTCGTAAAAGAAAGAGTGATCAAAGTATAGAAGATACAAGTGTGAGAGCCGCAGTTACAGAACATACAGAAGTACGAGAAATCAAACGAATCCATTTTTCTCTCTCCACGTCTAAAACGCCAACTGTTAAGAACACAAAAAATGTGATAACACCTATCTCAAAATGTATTAACAACAGAGAGAAATTAAATCTGAAGAAGAAAACTGGTGAGTTTTGTTTGAAATATACACCTTTAAAAGGCATATTTTCTGTTTCTTTTGATTTAGTAAGTCTGCTACTGATAAGCTTGTATTAGTACTTGTACATCCTAATTTACTAATTACTTAGTGGAAGATGTGATAAATGTAGTATGAGACTAAATTCTAAAATAGTTGTTGTCCTGTCCTAAAACTTTTGGTATTTTACTTATCATTAATTTTCTGCATTAATTTTGGTTTAAAAAAATATTGTATTCAAATACTTTAATTGCTGAGTTCTTTGGCATGCCCTTAACTTTTGCACCAAAGAAAGTACAGTACTTTATTTGCATCACTGTAGTCCAGGTCTTGATCAGAGGGCTCAATGAAATGTCTGACCCCAATTATACCAATTAAAGGAATACAGAAGGGACCTTTGCATGCTCTGTGCTCCTGGTGACATTATTCTTCCTCCGCTTCTACCTAGCCATTTATGAGGCATGAATGTAGGACTCCAGAGTTCTGTACTTCCCTGGGACAAACCTTATTGTTTCTTCCCTAGTGCTCACAGCTTCACCATCACTGCCTCCGAAACAATTGGAATTAATTCCATCATGCCCTTTTAATCAGTTACTTAATTTGACAATCAAGGTCTAGGCAGAAAAAGAAACCACAGTAGTTATTTTACCAGATAATTTAAAAGAAGACTATGATATATACCACATATTTTATTTCTCTTTGAACACCCATTTCCTATATTCTTTAGCTTTTTTAAACCCTTCTGTACCCCTTGGACTCACTGTTCATTATTAGTGTCTCTCCTTTCCAAGCACTTCCTCATTTTACTGCAACCCTCTCAGGTTGTGTCTCTTTTCTCTCATGACCTTGGGCTTCTTGATAGCATCTCAGATCTGCTTCTTGCTTTTCTTTTTGTTTTTTTTTGAGTTGGAGTCTCACTCTGTCGCCCAGACTGGAGTGCAGTGGCCGCCCCCAGCCACCGCAGCCTCAACCTGCTAGTCTCCAGCAATCCTTCTGCCTCAGACTTCCCAGTAGCCGGAATTACAGGCATGCGCTACCACGCCCGGCTGAGTTTTTTGATTTATTGTAGAGATGAGGTCTCGCTGCCCAGGCGGGTCTCGAACCTGCGGGCTCAGGCAATCCACTCACCTCAGCCTCCCAAAGGCACCGGATTACAGGCTGAGCCACCGAGCCTGGCTGCTTCTTGCTTTTCCTATCTACTTTCATCTCCTTTCATCCTTAAAAACAAATAAAAATAAAACAATAACAAAACAACTTGAATCTCTTTTTTTGTCAGATTATCCCACCCATGTTCTTCCTTGTTACAGTAAAACATTATTCTCTTGAGAATAAGCTTTGGAGAAGCTTATGATGCTTTCTCCAAAACTACTACCATCAAGATATCAAAATCCTTGTAGAAGAGTTTTCCAATAAGCTGGCCTTTTAGTTTCAACCTATTGAGGCCATGCTTTCCTTCAGAAAGCCACCTTCAACATGTTTTATACCCTTGTAATACATATAATTCTTTAATCCATCACTGTTTCCATAGCCCTCACCTCTGACATGTTCATGTTCCTTTCTTTATTCTGGATTTCATTATTCATCACAATCAGCTTAATTCACCCTCTAACCCTTCATTGTATATATCCAGCAAATTCCAACCCCAGTTCAATCTAACGCTGCCTACTCTGTGCCTGAATCTTGCTGGTTGGTCTTCATAACCACTAACCCCAGTAAACCCTTAATTCTTTTTTGGCTTTCCTGGTTTACTGGTTCTATCATTTTGCTATAGGCTATCTCATGCCTCTTCTCTTTTCTCCCGAAACTTCTCTTTCCTCCTCTCTCATGAATTAAGATCGTTAGACAGTTAATTTAGAAGCATTATATGTACATATTAGAGGTCTATTCTGAAGAAATAAATTTGGGAGGCTTACATGTGCAGATAGTACTGAAAGCTATGAGATAGGATGAGATAATTAAAGAAATGAGTAAAAATATGAAATAAGGTTCAGTGACTAATCCTTTATGTACTCCAAGGTTTAGGGGCAATAAAAGCCTTCCACAAAGGAAACCAAGCAGTCAGTGAAGGAAAACAACCAGGAGCGAGTGGGGATGGCAAGACGAAGTGTTCCAAGAAGGTAGAGGTTCAAAGTATCAAACACTTTGCTGATAGTTCAAGATGAAGATTCACAAAGAATTACTGAATTTAGTAGTGTTATTGATGACCTTCACAAGAGATTTCAGTAGAGTAGTGAAAACTGATTGAATTGGGTTCAACACATAGAGAAATTGGAAATACTAACATAAGCAATTTTAAAAATGACGTTTTACTTCAAAAAACACTATTCAAGGTATAGTCTATATACAGAAAAGTATACAAATAAGTATATAACAGTGAATTATTGCAAAGTGAATATGTAGATTCTCTCAAGGAGTTTTGCTTAAAAGAAAAGAGAAGAATGGCACATAGGCTAAAGGAATGTGTTTTTAAATTTTTTTTAAATGTGAATAATAACATATTTGCATGTTAATGAGAAATGGCCCAGTAGGGAGCAAAAAAATTGGAAATGTGGAAGAGTGAAGACAATTTCAAAAGCTGAGGTGGAAAGACACAGGCTCTGTTGAAGAAGAAGACAGCCTGGTCTTACTAGGTGCATAGACATTTGATGCTGTAACGGGGAAAGAAAGTAGTGGATGAATATACAAGTAAGGGACTAGGTGGGCAGACTGAAAGTTTTCTTCAATATTACTATTTCCTCAATGAAATAGGGCAGATGATCAGCTAAGATGAAGATCCGAGCCCTGACTCGACACTGCCAGGGGTAGAAACCCATCTTTATTTTACTAACTCTGAGTTTAGCCAAGTTACTCAACTGCTTAATGGATCTGTTTCATCATTTATAAAATGGTGGTAATGATAGCATCTACTTTATATGATTGTTGGAATACAAAGGAAGTTAAAGTAAAGCACTATAACCGAGTCCAAAAAAGAATGTGCTCAATAAATGTTAGCTTATCTAATTTGTGCAAAACCAGATGCCCTTGCTATGTTCACTCACAAAACAGGTCCTCCTCTTTTGACCTCCCATCCCAGTAAATGATACCTTTATATTTTTCATTGTTTAGGCTAGGGACCTTGGGGTTGTCCTTAACTGTGTTCTCTTTTACCCTTTCTCTATAACTTAAACATAGGTTTTTCTGATTTCAAACTCACTTGACCAGCAAATCTTCTTCTTCTTCCAAATATATTCAGAATCTGGTCACTTTTTATCACTTCCAATGGCATCATTTGGGCCAGTCTTTGTCATTGCAGTGTCTGCAAAAAGATCTTGCATTCATCCTTGCCTTCTCTATATTTTCTTTTCTATGCAGCAGCCAGTGTGATACTTTTGAAATATTGGGTTCTATTACTCTGTATCATCTAGTGGCTTCCTGTCTTACTGAAAGTCAAAGTTCTTAACAATGGTTTTACAATGCCTTGAAAGATCTGTATTGTCATTATTCTCCTTCTAACCTCACTCTTCCTCTCACTCTCCCTTTCTGGCTTCCTTGTGGCCTGGGAAACTCAAATGTGCTCTGTCCTAGGGTATTTGCAACTTATTGTTTCCTCTATGTGGAATAATTATTTTCAACTTTCTCATCATACGAAGTTCAAAAATGCCAGTAATTTGCTCAAGGTCCCCAAAACTAATTATTTAGAATCATGGTTTAGGTCTACCTAACTACAAGTAAATGATCTTTCCACTATATCTTACTACACTATTGGGATTTAAGTGACAGAAAAGATAAATGTAAGGTTTTTATTTTGGGCAATGACAATCTTGAAAAGCAGAGTGGGATCCACTGGTCTCAGAGTTCAGGGTGCCAATGTAGATAGAGATGCTGGGTAGTGTCCAGTCTGTGATGTTTTTACTCCTCTGCTCATGACACTTGTGGCTCTCTGCTGTTTTCAGATTATTTACAAACTTGTTATTCTGCCATTTAAGGTTGTCCTTCATGTGACCTCTATTTATCCAGCCGGCTATATTATTCTTAAACATTCTAGCGATTCTTATTATCATTCTAGCTATGTATCCTCTTATTAGCATTTATGCCTTTTCACATTAATTTATAACCTTCACTTATTTCACGTACTGTAACCAATTTGTGTTCATTGAGTTCCCTAATGGATTTCCCTCTGGGGAATGGTCCCTGGACCACCAGTTAACTATTTCTTTGGTTATCTATTTTGATCTCTTATAAGGTGTACAATAAATAGTGAATTAATTGAATGAATGAATGAATGAACAAATGAGCCACTGAAGTGTTGACACTTGAACCCACTGTTGGAGGTTGAGCCTTTTTGCTAGATTTAGAGAGACTTATACACACGGTATGTGATTCATGAGGTAAACTGATTAAGATTGACTCTAGCTTATTTTGACAAATGTAGAACAGAGAAAGATACATTTTCTAGATACATTTGTCAACATTGATGAGGTGCTTACTCTGCTGAGGCACTGTGGCCACAGGGAGGAAAGTTACAATTTTTATCCTGATGTGGTTTTCAGTCCTATGATGAACCTATGCAGAGGGAATTACAGAAGTACAGACGGACAGGCTCTGTGTGAAGGATAAAGAGGTTTGAGATGGTTCCACAAAAAGTTTCCTGAAGAATAAAATGATTCCAGGCAGAGTTTCTGCAGGTTTCAGAATAAGGAATTTCTCCTCAGGAATTTATTTTTTTAATGTTCGATTAATAGAACCCAATAATCTAATAAATATTATGTTGCAATTTAGTCATGATCCTTATTTTCACAATTGATATAGATTTGTTATCCCTCTAAAATAGGAGTAAGCAAACTTTTCCTTTAATGGTACAGATAATGAATATGCTAGACTTTGTTGGCCATTTGATCTCTATTGCAAATACCCAACTCTGCCACTGTAGTGGGAAAGCAGCCCGAAACGATGTACAAATCAATGAATATGACTGTGTTCCAGTAAAATTTCATTTATGGACACTGGCATTTGAATTTCATATAATTTTTCTGTGTCATCCGATGTTATTTTGATTTCTTTTCAAGTATTTACAAGTGTAAAAACTATGTTTAGCTATTGGGCCAAGCAAAAACAGGTAGTGAGCAGGATTTTGCAGGTGGGCTGTACTTTGCTGACCACTGCTCTTATTAACTCTTTGTTTATATTTAGTAGTAGTATATGCTGGTGTGAAACCTGCTTTTTTAGAGAGTTAACTGCTATTCTGCTGGGTTATTTGCTACTATTTTATTGTATTTTCTTTGGTAAATCACTTAACATTCTATCAGGCACCTGGGATACTAAGTTGGGAATCAGCTTGTTCTCATTCTCCATCACTTTCCTGCTTAGCTGGTATTAAGGCTTGTTGCTTCCACTATTAAAATTACTCTAAATTTGTCTCTGCTGCCTCTGTTTTCATTTGTCTCACCATATCTAACTTGGATCATTGTAATAACTGGCTTGTGATTTTCTGTCTTATCTTGATCCCATTCATTCTGTTATCTATTCTGTTAAATGCGAGTTTTACTTCCTTGATTAAAATTCTTTATTGGGATAGTAGGTGTTTCATAGTGATTAATAGTGCAGGCTCTGGAACTATACTGCTCAGATTCAAATCCCTGCTTCTTGCTAGGTTGTGTGACCTTAACCATGTGCCTTAATTGCTCTAAGCCCCAGTATCCTAATTATATAAGTTGTGGATATAATAGTGCACTTCTCATAAATTTGTTCTGATAATTGTGTGAGTAAAATATTATGATATTGCCTGGCAGAAAGTATTTAAATATTAGTTGCTACTATTATTTTGAATATTACTGAACTCTTTCCTAGCTCTTTCAACCTTGTGATGTCATTTCCCACATAAATTCTTTGTTCCATTCCTTTATTTTTTGAACAGTGCTCTTAGTGGGGCTTTATTTATTATTTTTAAATTGTGAAAAAACACACATATGAAATTCACCATCTTGGCCATTTGTGAATGTGCAGTTTGTGGCAGTAAGTACATTAACAGCATTGGGCAGCCCTCACCACCATCCATCTCTAGAACTCTTTTCACCTTGCAAAACTGAAACTCTGTATCTAATAACTCTCCTTTCCCCCTTCCAGCAGTTCCTTGGTTACCACCATTCTACTTTTTGTCTCTATGAATTTGATTACTCTAGGTATCATGTAAATGGAATCATGCAGTATTGGTCCTTTGCCATTGTCATTTCACTTAGCATAATGTCCTCAAGGTCTATGCGTGTTCTTCTTCGCTCCATTCCTATTGCAATATTGTCAATAGGTTGTATTCCTTAAGCCTAATTTTTATTTCATGAGTTAGCTCCAGGAAGGCTCTTCTACCTTTTTTTTTGAGTTGGAGTCTCACTCTGTCACCCAGGCTGGAGTGCAATGGCACGCTTACGGCCGCCCTAGCGGCCACCTTAGTGTCAGGGCTCTGGTGATCCTTCCAAGTAGTCAGAACTACAGGCACATGCTACCATGCCCGGCTAATTGTTTTGATTTATTGTAGAGACGAGGCCTCGCCAAGTTGCCCGCGGGTTCAGGCAGTCCACTCGCCTCAGCCTCCCCAAAATGCTTGGATTATAGGCTGAGCACTGAGCCCGGCCTTCTACCATTTAAACTTCTTTTCTACTAGACCGAGAAATACCTAAGAACTGGGACCATATATTTCAATTCTGCATATTCTCAGTCCTAGCATAGAGTCTGTAATATATATGTACACAATAAATTGTGCTTGAATCTAGTCTTTGGCTTCCATAAACACAAAGTAAATTGTGGTTTATGGTCTGTGACTTCCAGGTGTTGGTTTCATAGACCACAGAGTTCATAGCATTAGTGCCTGGAGCACTGATGTTAAGTATTTGCTAAATGAATATAATTGTGAAGAAATCGAATTCAACTTTCAAATCACTTATCTATGCAGGGAATTTATTATTTTTATTTTTGGAATTATTTTTTAATACTACTAATTTCCTTTTCTAATTTATTTTAGATTCATTAATATTCAAAACTCCTATTTCTAAAACAAACAAAAGGACAAAACCAATTGTTGCTGTGGCACAGTCCAGTTTGACCTTTATAAAACCATTAAAAACAGGCAAGTTTTTAATACATTTAAATTCTCTGCAAATGTCACATGGAATGAAGCATTAATTACATTTCAGATGGAAATGATTTTTTGTTGTTGAGTAAAATCCTCAAAGAATTGTTAAAGTGTGCATTCAAACTACAATTAAGGTATTTTATCAACTTCTATTTAATAGAAGAAATAGACCAAGTGTCCAATAAATCATCATTAATTAATTAACTGTATTAATCTCTTGTACATTTAAAAATAGCTAAAAGAGAATAAGTCAAATGTTTCTGGCATAAAGAAAAGAGATTTTTAAGGTGATGGATATCCCAAGTATACTTATCTGACATGTAAAAATTATTTGAATGTATTAAATTATCACATGTACCTTGAACATATGTATCTCTACTATGCGTCAATTAAAAAAATATGTTCTATAACACTTTATATGAAATTGATTTATGGTGGTTTAGGATTTTTAAATAACGAGGAAGTGTTGCTTTTCTTTTCCCCCTTTTACTTTGATTATATTTCATATTCCAAATGCTTCCAACTTTTTCCAGAAAATAGTGGAAAAGCAAATATTATTCATTTTTTTAAAGATAGTTTTGCTAGTAAAAATGACCTTTTGTTGTATGTTGTATAATAATTTAAAAGAAGTTTTCTTAAGTAATAACTTAATTGCATTCTTAGATATTCCTAGACACCCAATGCCATTTGCTGCAAAAAACATGTTTTATGATGAACGCTGGAAGGAAAAGCAGGAACAGGGCTTCACTTGGTGGTTAAATTTTATATTAACTCCTGATGACTTCACTGTAAAAACAAGTATTTCCGAAGGTAAACATTAAATGAATGTTTAAATTTAATAATATTCTTATTTTAACAGATTATATTTTTAACACAGCTTGTCTTTTTCAATTATATATAACTTTATCATATTAAAGTTAATATATAGTTCACTGTTCATTAGCCTAAATGCTAAATTTATGTAGGTAGGAATTTTTATCTACATAGATTTATATTCATAGATTTTCTGTACCAAAGGTACTGAAATGTTCTTTTTCTTTTTGCTCTCTATTCTCTCTCATCAGTCAATGCAATCAATCTTGTGTGTCCTGTCCACTTTGAGCATGTTGTCCCCACTATTAAGTACCTCAGTTTAAGAAGCCTATAGGAAGGCTATAGTATTGCAAGGAATCTGAAAACCATTTTATATGAAGAATTTAAAAAACTTTTCAGTGTTTATTCTGGAAAAGAGAAAAATCAGGTAAAGGACAAGGAAGCGATACAGTGCCCTTCATATAGCTGAAGGGTTTTCTTGTGAAAGAGAAGGAAACTTAACTTTTGTGCAGCTCTCACATAGAAGTTGTCAAGATTAATTTCAGCTCAAGATAAGGAAAAATTCTTAAAAACATTTAAATTGTCAAAACATCATATAGGCTATCTTTTGAGGTGGCAATTTCCCCATTGCTCTCATGTTCAGTTACTGTTTTGTATTTGTTAGAGAGGCATATGTAGGATTTTTTATTAAAAGCGTTTTTGGATTAGATGATCTCTAAGATCACTTTTCATTTTTTTCCAAGAGGAAGCAAAGCCCAATTTTTAGTTCTTTTCTTAGGAGACAATGTATTTTATAACAGTTCAAATAACATTTCAAAATTTAATTGGTTTTAAAATACCACATTTCTTAGGAGCATGACTGTTTAGTAATTTATAAAGAGGATAGAAACAGAGAAGCCAATCAGGAGGTCTTTTCATTAGTGTGAGTTAGTGTCTGAACTTTTGTGATGGTAGAGGTAGTGAGAAGCAATTAGACTAGGAATACGTTTTGCAAGTAGACTTTTATTTTGAGATAAGAAAAACAAAGAGGAGTAAGCTTGGTGGGGATGAAGAATAGATTCTGTTTCTACCATCTCAAAATGCAATACATGCATTTTATTGCTGGATTCAAGAACATATAGACATATTGCCTAACTAACCAGAAATATTCTTCTTTTTGTTTATATCCAGTCAGTGCTGCTACTCTTCTTTTGGGAGTGGAGAATCAACATAAAATAAGTGTTCCTAGAGCACCTACAAAAGATGAAATGTCTCTTAGAGCTTACACTGCTCGGTGCAGGCTGAATAAATTACGTCGTGCAGCATGTCGTTTGTTCACTTCTGAGAAAATGGTTAAGGCTATTAAAAAACTTGAAACTGAAATTGAAGCTAGGCGGTTGATTGTTCGAAGAGATAGACACCTTTGGAAAGATGTGGGTAAGAACACTGCAGAAATCTTGAGATTCGTTCTTTAAAAACATTCTAGAGATTTTATATTTCTTCCCCCCCCAGTTTTATTGAGGTATAAATGACAAATAAAAATTATATACAGTTAAGGTATACAACATGATATATGTGTACATTGTGAAACATAATTACAATCAAGCTAACACATCTATCTCCTCACATACTTAAGAGAGAGAGAGAGTGTGAGTGTGTGTGTGTGTGTGTGTGTGTGTGTGTGGTGAGAACATTTAAGAAGTACTCAGCAAATTTCAGGTATGCAGTGCACTATTTGATTATAAGTTTGAGCTTACTTGCTTTTGACATACATTTCAGGAGAACGTCAGAAAGTCTTGAACTGGTTGTTGTCTTACAATCCTCTGTGGCTTCGAATTGGGCTAGAGGTAAGCATACATTTCAGATTTTGAAAACATTTTCTTTTATTATATACTTTTAGTAGAATAGCCTCTTTAATAAAATGTTTTACTTTTAAAAAAGTCATTAGTTTAGCTTGATTCATCTTTCAGTATAAAATGTAAAGTCCCTTAATAAATGCTCATTAGGTAAATATACCATGCCATTATATATTATTGCCATATTTTTACATCGCAATTTACTATATAGTCTCTTAAATGTATATAATGTGGTGCTGGATGTAATGACAATTATAGTAAGCTCGTTTTTGAACATTTACAAATCAAAAGATAAGGTTGTTTTAAATGCATTTCTAATTTAAATCTCTTTACTACCCAGTGAGGCATGTACTATCAATTGCACTAGCAAAACAGAAACTTAGATGTTAAACGACTTGCCATATGCCAATAATTGGTCAGGATTTGAACCTACACCAGTACTACTCATAAAAATGTCATCAGGATTTGAGTTATTTATATAGTACTTGGCTCAATAATATTTATGATGTTAAAACTATCTGAATTAGAAGGTTAATATTAATAGTTGACTTAAAAATATGCTTTTATAAAAACAAAAATGCCATCTGTGCTTCCCTTGCCTTTAGTCTTTTGCTAGTATGCTTTTACATTTTTTTCTAGTTTTCTTACCTTTCTAATATGGGATCTCCTATTACTATTTCAGTTTTTTCCAGGTTTTGTAATAGAAGTGTCTTTGGGGCTGAAAGGGATCTTTGCAATAATATGATTTTTTTGTACAAATAAATTGAAGCTCAGAGAAAATAAATAAATAATAAGCTTACTATGGTCACAAAACTTGATAGCATCATTGCTAAGATCTCTTATTTCAATTCTGGCATCCTTTTCAATAGTCAGCGAATTTCATATCAATTGGTTCTACTTCAAATATGAAGTAATTTTGGAACCTCAGTTGAAGTAGAGCCACCATATTTGGGGTATAACTTTGGCAAAAGTAAAAAGCAAGAGCATAAGGTGAAAACTTGCAAGACCTTTTAAAATCTGTTATTAGATATAATGTGCATTATTGCCTCTACACATATTTCATTGACCAAGGCACATTACCTGGCCAAACACAAACTAGGTAGGCATGTACTAACCTTCCACAAGAGTCATAGTGGGCATGTATAATATTTTTATAAGAATTTTTTTTACAGGGAGGTATTCACCTAATCTATATGGAGAAGGGTGAATAATTGTGAACAGTAAACATTTCACCTTGCCACTATACCTTAGGATTCTGTAAATAAATGGATATAACCTTTGAGGATTTCAAGAAAGCTTCAAAGGAAAAAAAAGTAAACAAAGATAAATTTCTCTATTTTGGCAGGCATTAAAAGTGCTTTTCTCTTTATATTTTGTTAATGTAGGGTTGCACAATATAATTTGATATGCTTTTTCTTATTTCTGATTGTTTTAAAAATTAATAATCATGTTGCTGTTAAGCTAATTTCATTTGTAAGTCATTCATTATAAACAGATCTTAACTTCCCAAATTATTATCTTAAATGATTTACAGATAGTTTTCTACTTGTTAACTATTAGAAAATTTTGAATATTTAGGTTTCTGTTGTGTCTGCATGATGTACTTAATGGGAAAGTGATAATGAAATTTGAACAGCATGCCCGCATTTTATAGTTTTGTAACTTAAATGGAAAAAAAAGTATGTATTGCTTGTCAGATGACTAAGACTTTATCTTATTCCTGAACTTTGTCTTTTTTATTGAGAAGTATACCACATATACTAAAAAATGTATAAGGCATATATATGCAGTTTAAAGAGGTTATTTCGCAAATAACCATGTCACTTGCACACTATTTAGGAAATAGAACATTGCTAGTTCCTAGAAGATTATCATCTACCCTTCTTCAGTCATATCCCTTTGCTTCTTAGTGATAGAATAACGGTAACTTTGGCTTTAATTTCTTCTTTTCAGACAGTTTATGGAGAACTCATATCTTTGGAAGATAACAGTGATGTCACAGGATTGGCTCTGTTTATTCTGAATCGCTTACTTTGGAATCCTGATATAGCAGCTGAGTATAGACACCCCACTGTTCCTCATCTGTACAGAGATGGTAAATATTTCTGCCTCCCCTGCGTTCTCTCCACACTATGTATAAATTACTTCTTGTCATTATTCCTTTTTCTATTTGCATTTTACATTCTCAAAGAAAAAAAATCTAAGTAGATCTCTGTTTCCACTACTTTACCTTCCTCCAACCCCATTATTTCCCATTGTTTCCTCCGTTAACTATTTCTAATTATTCTTTCCTGTTGGTTCTCTCTACCCATCCTCTCCCTGCAGTAGACTATAAGTCCTATGGATATCATGTTTGTTGCAGCTTGCTACTGTATTTCTAGCACCTAGTACAGTGTCTGCATATGCATTAGTTGTTCATTAACTATTCGTGGAGTTAGACCAACTAATTCTCTTGATGCCTCTGTGACTGTCTTCTCATCTATGAATTGATGCCTATGTGACTGTTTTCTCATCTATGAATTGGAAATATCAAATGGTACCCGTCCCATAGAGTCATTGTAAGGATTAAGTGGATTCATGTATGTAAAACACTAAGAAAGTCAAATAAATAGTGCTTTATTTGTGCTTCCTACTACTTTTTTTTTTAACTAGACATTATTATTATACTTTAAGGTGAAACCTGCCTATGTTTTTTTTTGTTGTTGTTATTCTTTTCTAAGGTCATGAAGAAGCTTTGTCCAAGTTTACATTGAAAAAGTTATTGTTGTTGGTCTGTTTTCTTGATTATGCTAAAATTTCCAGACTTATTGATCATGATCCTTGTCTCTTCTGTAAAAATGCCAAATTCAAGGTATAGTTTTCATTTTATGCTTTATATTTTCTATTTAAAAGTTTGCTTTTATGGTATACTTTTTTCTTTAAAACATTGTTCTTTTGAAAAAACCATACCCAATAGAATAGGAATGCATGTCTAGTGAGTCTCGTCAGTAATTCTAACCATGCCTAGTTTTTGTTGGTTTACCTTTTGCCAGCTCATCATTTTTCCTCTTAATTTTGACTTGGAAATAAACTAAACTATGCTTCTGAGGAACTAATTCTGGGGGAAATTTCTAATTTTGATGTGGCATATTTTCAAATTAATGCTAGTTTTTGTAGTATATTATGAGCAATTTTTACAATGATCTTAGATTGGAAATTTGCATTATTACTATTTAATATGAAACTGACAATCTTTTTATACTACTATTTATTTTATTTCTATATGTTCAGAATGACTTGCAGGGTTTGTTTTTATTATAAACATAATTATAATAATGAAATTTAATACCTGTAACTCATTTCTCTATAGGCTAGTAAAGAAATTCTTTTGGCATTTTCACGAGATTTCCTAAGTGGTGAAGGTGACCTTTCTCGTCACCTTAGCTTATTGGGATTACCTGTTTACCACGTTCAGACACCGTTTGATGAATTTGATTTTGCTGTTACAAATCTTGCTGTAGACTTGCAGTGTGGAGTGCGTCTTGTGTAAGTATAAGAGATAGAATTATTTTGCTTAATGGAATAGACTAATATTTTATCGACCCCCCCCCCTGCTTTTTTCTATATAATCTTTCTTGCTCTTTCTTAATAGAATACATTTAGGGTAAAAAAAAAGTTGAGATTTTCAGAAAAATAGTATGTTACTTTTATGCCCAGAAACTGCCTCCTATCCACACTTTTTTCCTTATAGCATGTGACTAGGGTCTATGCATAAGAAATTATTGATATCTCACAATAGGAGTTGGGAAGAACAAGAAACTAATTTATCAAACATTGAAATAACACTTTATGTTGACAATGATTTCATGAGTCTTATATTATTTGAGACAACTTTTAGTAGTATTAATCTCATATATAAAAATATATGACAAAAATAGTATGAAGTGATAGAATGCATTGCCCAAGTTTTATACAGTGGTATTGAGACATAAATTCATGAAGTCTGACTTCAAATTCTACAGTACTTCCTCAATAACAAAATGGAATGCTAATAATTGCCTTTGGTATGAGTAATGGGTTGCCAATTTCTGCTTTGGATGGAATGGCCTTTAGGATATTTGGATTGGAGATACTCATTTTTTTTCTAGGGAACTCTTCAAAATATTACATTTTTATCAAGGAAGAGCTTTTGGGGTCAAGGAAAGAAACTTCTTTAAGCAATGATAGGGTTGTTCTCTGTGATTTTAAGAAGTTGTTAAGGTTGAACACAGCCAGTTAAACCTTTAAATAGCCGGGCTCTGTGGCTCAGCCTGTAATCCCGCGCCTTTGGGAGGCTGAGGTGAGTGGATTGCCTGAGCCCGCGGGTTCGAGACCCGCCTGGGCAGCGAGACCTCATCTCTACAATAAATTATTGGGAGGCTGAGGTGAGTGGATTGCCTGAGCCCGCGGGTTCGAGACCCGCCTGGGCAGCGAGACCTCATCTCTACAATAAATTAAAAAGTCAGCCGGGCGTGGTAGTGCATGCCTGTAATTCCGGCTACTTGGAAAGCTGAGGCGGAAGGGTCGGTGGAGCCCAGCAGGTCGAGGCTGCAGTGGCCGGGAGCGGCCACTGCACTCCAGTCTGGGCGACAGAGTGAGACTCCAACTCAAAAAAAAAATAAAAAAATAAAAATAATAAAAAATAAACTTTTAAATATAGGAAGCACAGCCCTTTATAAAATATCTTTGCTGTAGTAAAGCTACTGAATTCTTTACCTTACCCTAGTACATTCTTAGATTTTGAATTGCTTATGTTATAGCCAGAATATTGCAGGCAGTTTTCATGCTAAAATTCAAATTGGCTAAAAACTTAACAGGAAAGGAGCTATTTGGATATACTTATTAAATTCTTTGTTTAACCAAAGATATCTTTAGGGTATAAACTAAAAACTATAAACTAAGGGAGATCAGTTGAAGGAACTATGAATATTTAGAGAAATAGCAAACTCTGGAACATAAAAGTTTTCAGATGTTTGAAGGGCTATCTCATAATATAAGGTGATCACATTGTTTATTAACAAACAAAATAACTATGTATGAACAATGAAAGTTTTAGAAAGATGAGCGAGATGAGTGTTGCTTTGGTTTAAAAACTTGCCAATATTCAGGCATGTCTTTATAAAGAAATCCAGTTCACCATGTTGGAAGGTTCAAGCAGGGGTCAAAGGACCACTTGAACAGAATGGAGGAATTTATTGACATTTATGAGGAAGACATCCCTAGATTTTTATGAATCTCTCGTTTTTCAGAAAAATATACATGTCCTTTGTTTTCTTCAAAGTTAAATTTTCTATGGACATTTTCTTTCCTCATCAGTATTCTTACAAGTTACTAGTCTTTTGAACATTACTGCAGCTTTCTCTTACTTGAGCAGTTTCCATATAAGCTAAGATCATTTGCTGAAAATATTTCACATATTATTTTTATATTTTGTTAATTTGTTCATTCCACAAATTTAAGTCACCACATCTATTTTGTGACCAATGGGAATTTATGTTTTTAGACTTTACAGTTTCCAGGAGGAGCAGGTGTTGGTTTAATGTTCAGTACTATTTTTCCTCAGTCTTTTTTCATGCTTTTACAGAAGCTACTGAGGATTTAGCACTGTTGGATGTTGATGTTATTTAGTTAGTTAGAAACTCTTAGTAGTGAAGAGATTGATCTTGCATAACCAAATTTCTGCTTTTTTAAGTGTCAGCAAAATAACTTTTATTGATCTTTGAGAATACTTGAGAATGGTTTCTCTACTAAAGTCTCTTCCTAACCTTTAGGAACTATGATTCTATAAGTAATTCTGTTAGCTTTTTGTTACATACAAAAATCAGTTGAGGCTTGATTTTTCTGGAGACATATCAACTACTGTCTAGTGGATAAAACTAGTGACCAAATGATATTAGGGGTTTGAATTCAAACTCTGATATACATGTTTATTAGGTAGGTTCCCAAATATTTTTATAGTAATCTGAGATATATATACACACACACACATATATGCAGAGATATATAGTTGATGTAATTACATTACATATGATATTTTATACACACACACACACATATATATGTATGTATGTGAATTATTGTGGAAACTGGTAAAACTGTATTTTAATTCTTGTTTTAGTTCTGTTATTACCAGCAATATGACCATAGGCTGTTGACTTAATTTCTCTGAGCCTTGGTTTCTTCATCTGCCAAAAATGAACTAACAATACCTGATTGTGGGATTTACTGTGATGACTAAGATAGGAAAAGAAAGCTCTCGCTTGGCATGAGAATGTAGTGCATCTTAATAAATATTCCTCTTCTCTGCTCTCCTCCCCTCCCCTTTCTCTCCTTTCTTGTCTTCTTTTTTCCTCTGTAGAATCCTATTATTTTGTGCATTTGTGTTATTTCATATGTTTTATTTCTTAACATCTGTGTTAATAGACCCCCAGATTTAAAATGAGAACTCTACTCTCTAACTGTGGAGCAAGAGAGAAAAATGATAGTTTTTGGAGTCTTTCTGAGTTAAAGCCCTTAATCTCTTGGAATTTGTGTGGGAAGCAACTATATTTCAATGAAGTTTATTTTCTTGTACATGTTTGTATATAGCAATTTCATCTGAATATTTCTTCACTGCTAGGCGAACCATGGAACTCCTCACACAGAACTGGAATCTCTCAAAGAAACTCAGGATCCCGGCAATAAGTCGTCTTCAAAAAATGCACAATGTTGACATTGTTCTTCAAGTTCTTAAATCACGAGGAATTCAATTAAGTGATGAGCTTGGTAAAATCTGAGTAGAGATAAAACTTACTCATCTCACAGAGTATTGATATGTGTATATATTATTCTAACAGACTGCCTTTTCTTTTGTAGGAAATGCGATTCTATCTAAAGATATTGTGGATAGGCACAGAGAAAAAACTCTCGGGTTGCTTTGGAAAATAGCATTTGCTTTTCAGGTATTATACAGTCAGTACCTTTGTACTTTTTATCAGTTTTGAATACTGATTTATAAAAGCAATTTGAATCAAATAAAGACTAACAATAATAACTATTATTTACTGGGCTTGTTCTGCCCCACAAATGTGATAATTGTCTTACCTATATATTCCAATTTAATCTTCATCACACACCTACAAAGTAGGTGTTGTGTACCTCATACATAAAGAGATTGAAACTGACGTTTGCATCATTAATAAGAAGCAGAACTAAGATTAAAATCAAGGCTTGTGTGACCCCAAATCTCGTGTTCTTAACCACTAAACATGATATCATTTCTATGTAGATTGTGTTTGTCTTAAAAAAAAAGTGAGTTTTTTGTGCTAACGTGTCCAATTTGGGCACTCTAGTCTCTTAGATTTTTAAACTTTCTGATTAGGTTATTTTAAAATCCTTTACCATTTCTCTAAACAGAGCACAGGTACTTTAATTTCTGAGTGTTAAATAAGATATGAAAAGTATAAAGGTATTTACCTTTGTGTTGTGTGTTTCAGGTGGATATTTCCCTCAATTTAGATCAATTAAAGGAAGAAATTGCCTTTCTAAAACACACACAGAGTATAAAAAAAGCAATGTCTACATTATCATGCTGTTCTGATGTTCTTATTAATAAAAAAGACAAAAGGATTAGTAGTTCATTTAAACATTATGGTGAAAATATAAAGTTATTGATGGATTGGGTAAACGCTGTTTGTGCCTTCTATAATAAAAAGGTAAACATTTTTCTTTTTGTTTTAACACAATATCTTTGAATAACTTTTGATGAAAGTCAATTAAACTTAATGCATAAAATGTTTTCTTGGATTTCTTAAGTAAATCTAATTTATATTGTGTAAGCCAGTTTTTCCTCAAACCAGTGAACTTACTGTCAAATATTTTATCCAATCTTTCACCTATTGTATAATGTGTGATCATTTTATTTATCACTGAGAAAGACAAAATGTCCTAAATGGGGATCTTATGGTACATGAAAGTATCATACCACTATTATAAAGGTCAATGCAAATAACCTCAACATGCAGAAAGGGATAGCAGAGAACTTACCACTGGGTAGAAAGAGAGAGAAAAACAAAATTTAAGTTGAGTCTTTTTATAATCATTTGTTAGGTTGATACTATATTTCTGTATTAGGTGTACTTCTATGTGTAAATATCTGACAAAAATTTGCCCTAAAAACTGTTGGTAAACTATCTGGTAACAAATATAAAACAGGAACAATAATGCAGAGTACTTGTAACTAAATATGGTAAACCTGGATATATGATTATACCTTGAAGAAGCTGTAAAAGTGTAGGAAAATTGTTAAATATATGCATAATCTTCTATGTTTTAATTGAGATTGATCATCATTATTTATAAACTTCATATTTAGAATTTGCATACTGGCCAAAATTTATTTCTACTGTTTTGTGATCCTTCATTGACATGTGATTACAAAAAACGAGAATCCACTATAATTGTAATTTCCTAAGACTTCATAGCAAATAACTACAAACTAGATGACTTAAAATAGTCATTTATTCTATCACTGTTCCAGAGGCTAGATGTCTGAAATCAAGGTGCTGGCTGGGCTGTGCTCTCACTTAAGGTTCTAGTGGAGACCCTGTTCCATTCTTTTCCCTTAAGTTCTGGTGGTTGTCAGGTAACGACATTTCTGGCCTTGTAGTTGCATCACTTCATTCTCTGCCTCTGTCAGCACGTGGTGTTCTACTTGTATGTCTTATTCTGTGTCTCTCTCATAAAGACAACATTTGTATTGAGTTAAGAACCCATTCTATTCCAGTGTGACTTCACCTTAATTAATTAATCTGTAATGATAGTATTTTCTTTTCTTTTCTTTTTGAGTTAGAATCTCACTCTCACCCACACTGGATTGCAGTGGCATGCTCCCAGCCACCGCAGCCTCCACCTGCTGGGCTCCGGCGATCCTTCCGCCTCAGCCTTCCAAGTAGCTGGAACTACAGGCACGCGCTACCACGCCCAGCTAATTTTTTGATTTATTGTAGAGATGAGGTCTCGCCAAGTGGCCCAGGCGGGTCTTGAACCTGCGAGCTCAGGCAATCCACTCACCAAAACACGAGATTACAGGCTGAGCCATTGAGCCCGGCTATGATAGTATTTTCAAATAAGGTTTGGGAGGTTCTGGGAAGGACATGAAGTTTTGAGGGACACGGTTTAACCCAGAATGATAATATAATCATATCCTACTATTGGAATGGGTAGTATTTTATAATTGAGAATTTGCCTATGAATATGTCATTATACTATGTACTGTTAGCAGAGAAATTCCTAACTATTAAAAGAAAAGAATGAACTAAAAAACCACTATATCTATATTATTGTCTAAATATAGTAAATTGTTTTTCTGGTATTTCTAATCAGGTGGAGAATTTTACAGTGTCTTTCTCTGATGGCCGTGTATTATGTTACCTGATCCACCATTATCATCCTTGCTATGTGCCTTTTAATAAGATATATCAGCGAACTACTCAAACTGTGGAATGCACACAGACTGGTTCAGTGGTATTAAATTCATCATCTGAATCTGATAATAGTTCTCTAGATATGTCTCTTAAAGCATCTGATCATGGTTAGTCCCTTTTTGTTAATTAAATTTTCCAGTTCTTTGCCATGTGTGATTTTTGGCTATAGCAGTCTAATTTCTCTTTTTCACTTGCATAATAGAAAATACTTCAGAACTATACAAAGAGCTGCTAGAAAATGAAAAGAAAAACTTTCATTTGGTTAGGTCTGCAGTTAGAGACCTTGGTGGAATACCTGCTATGATTAACCATTCGGATATGTCAAATACAATTCCGGATGAAAAGGTAAGTAAAAGAAGAGTTTCTTAAGTAATAACTGAATAATAGTCTCAGAAGATGATAGTAAGTTTTATATTCTTTGTTGATTTTGTTTTCATCTTTTGTGTGTTTTTTAGGTGGTGATTACTTATTTGTCATTTCTTTGTGCAAGGCTTTTGGATCTTCGTAAAGAAATAAGAGCTGCTCGACTTATACAGACAACATGGAGAAAATATAAGTCGAAAGCAGATCTCAAACGCCATCAGGTATTCCTAGAAAGTAAAAACACTATAGTATAAACTGTACTTTATGAAATACCAGTAGATTAATTTTTGATAATTATTTCTACATTTTACTGATGTATGAAGTTGGGATAAGCTTGACCTCAACTAGTGCTGTCTGATCTTGGACAACAAGTGTCTGGTTTTGCAATTCAATTAATAAGCTCATCTTGTTTTCCATGAAGCTGTCTTCCGGTTTGTCCTTTATTACTTTGAGAAGCAGTATTTTGGTTTCCTTTGTTATATTTTTCAAAATGCTTAGGATCTGGGTATGGGGCTAGAGATGCTACTTATTGTTTCCTTTTGTGACCCCAACCGTATAAAAATTTGCATTAATGTACATTTTTTTCTTAAGTTCTGAGAAACTTGTCATTTTTAATAATCTGAGAAATGGTCTCCTTGATTAAGTTGAACAAACTATTTTATTTCTCTTATTTTCTTGTCCTCTTAATAATTAACATTATATTTACTTACTTGGAAAAATAAAACCAAGCAGCCATGCCTAATAAAATTTATCATAAATATTTTAGAAGTAGGTTCTACTAGATATTGCTTCTCAATTTTGAATTATAATATATCTATGATAAAGTTCTTGGTCTAGAACAGCTAAATTTTGGCAACTCTGAAACATAACCTGTTTTTTCATACCATATCAGACTTAGAAATAAGACTAATTGAGATAATTCACTCTTGCCCCACTCAAAACCTTCATAATAACTTGTGGGAAATAGATGAGTTCATACACTTATAAATGGTCTTCTCGGCTGCTTTGTATGCTCCATGCCTTATAGTGGCCCTCAACTTCTCAGGTCTGCCTCCTCGGCCACATATCACTTGGAGGATAACTATACCTTTGGAAGCTTCTAGGATAATTGTTTAAGGATAGTTTTCAAGGAAGACTTTCTAGCCAGTTTTCAAGTTGTTATTCATTCTTTTTATGTGGTATTCAGAGTTTTAGAATGATAAGAAATAGGTGTCAATCAGAATATGTGTATTCTGCTTTATTTCCTGCTTAACATGGCCTTATATTAGTTGGATATTAACTGTAGAGTTTTCTCAGCTTTTTGTTAGTGAGATTTCCCTCTGTTGAGTGCAAATAGTAGAAATTTTTTGAAGGTTTAAATTAAGGAAATTCTATACCTATGGTTAAACTTCGTGAACTCAGTCAGATTGCTGCTCTCCTTTCTCCTGGTGACCATACTCTCCCTGTAATACAATTACATTGACATCCAGTTATATCTCTCCATAGTCTATCTGGAACATCAAGCAGCCAGCTCCCTATATATCCTAGTAAAATATTACAAACTAGTAAGCATATAAACATTATCTTGAGATGGCTGTTTTTCAGGTTTTATATTTTGCTTGTATGTCATTGTTATAATTTATATAAATTCATTAAGAATCAAGTGGCTTGAGCTTTTGTATTAACAAAGAGACATTGGCAAGTAGCAAAGATTACCTGATGAATTGTGTAAGGGTCCCTGAAACATTCCACTTCTCAGCTCTTCCTGTCAACAAATAAGTATAAACTCTAAAGCAAAGTTAACTCCTAGATTTTGGCCCATATACGAGACGAAATAAGCTGGTAACTGGCTGGTTCAACAACAGTGTATGATTAAAAAGTCAATGTCTGCAGGCATGGAAACTTACCATCAGCTTATGTAAGTTTTCACATAGTTGCTAATTTTAGTATTCTATTTACTTCTTGAATTTATTTACTCTCTATCTTTAACTTTTCTAATGTCACATAAGTTGTTGTATTTTAGTTAGCTTATGAAAGAGATGATCTAAAAACTGAAGTTTCAATTCACCTTTGCCTATTTTGTCCATGAGTGCCCTTGACTCTTAGAACTTTTGACCCAAATGCAATATACTTCTGAATTGCATAATTTTAAAATGTATTTATGTAGAGAGGATGCCAAAAAAAAACAAAACTTTTTTTTGTTTTTTGGTTGGAGTCTTACTGTCGCCCAGACTGGAGCGCAGTGGCATGCTCCCAGTCACCGCAGCCTCAACATACTGGGCTCCGGAGGTCCTTCCGCCTCAGCCTTCCAAGTAGCTGGAACTACAGGCGCGTGCTGTCACGCCTGGCTAATTTTTGATTTATTGTAGAGATGAGGTCTCACCTAGTTGCCCGGGCGGGTCTCGAACCCTCAGGCTCAGGCAATTCACTCGCTTCGGTCTCCCAAAGTGCTGGGATTACGGGCTGAGCCACTGAATCTGGCCAAAAAATTACATTTTAAGAATGAAACAAATATTAAAATTGTAATACTCCGTATGATGAATACAAATCACGTTTGACTTTTGCAATTACAAGAGGTACTCAAAGTGGTTACCATCAGCATCCAGACATTTCTGACTACAGTGAACATCTCCTAACATCTCTTAAAATGTGTGTACTTATTTTTTTGGTACCCCTAGTTTAGTTTAACAATAAGAGTGTGCTTTTAACTTTAATCTCTATGCCCTTAAAGGCATAGGTTTTACAGGTACACTGACAATAAATGACTTAACCAAGTTACTATACATAATCCTCCTAGCCCAATTTTAGAATTGTCTGGTTTTTCTTCTCAAAGGAATGATCCAATATATAGCCCTTACCATTCCTTAATATTTGTTTTGGTCTATTGATTAATCTTTTTAGTCTTTTTTATGTGTAAGAATAACATACTGATCACTTCCATAGTTGTGTTCCCATATTGTGAAACCTCCATTCACAGATGTCATCCACTGGTTGTTACTAATTAATAATTGAAATTATATTAATAGCTAATCTCTGTGTAGATCCTGCTCTAACATAGTGGCCTATTCCAGACAGCAACACAAAATGTTGTCAGACATATTGTAAGTTCTTCCTTTCCACCAAAGGAAATAACTCTTATTCTAGTTTGTACTTCAGTCGAAGTGAAGTGGCACATCTAATGGACAGTATAGCAAAATGACTCTGAAGCCTGACTGCCTGGTCCAGATCCTGGCTATGTTGCCAGTAGACTGACAGTCCACTTGACCTCTCAGCTTCAGTTTCTTTCTTGTCATAAGAGTAGTATCTGCTCATTTGTTCTTATGGTGTTTTTTGTGAGGTTTAAATGTATAATTCATGAAGTCATCAGGATGATGCCGGACATAGATATATTATTATTCATAGAAATTTATTAGCAGAAATAAATAGAAATACCAGAGGGTTTTGCCCTGTAATGCTCCTAGGGAAGCAGCTGGCTCCTCTTTGGCCACTGATGTGTTGGGTACCTCAGATATCACTTCTCAGAACCCAAACTATACTCTCTTAAATTGAACCTCTATGGCTTTAGGCCACAGGGTATTCTGTGCTGAAGGAAGAAGTGTTTTGTTTCTCGCCTTTGGTGTATTGCTATGTTCAAATTGTTACAGTACTGTAAAGCATTTTTTCCCCATAAAATTTACCTTGTTCCTAAAAGTCAAGCATGAATTTATTACACCCAAATCTGAGAAACATTTCACATTATACTTTAAATTGCCTTTAGTTTTATTATTGAGGATCCATGATAGATCAAACATGTCTGTGATCTTTATCTTAGACTGTGGATTAGGAATCTTTGTTTTATCATGAAAATACATCTACCAACCCACTTATCAGCCCTTTTGACTTGCCTAGAAGTATCAGTATTCCAAAGTTGAACATACGAAGCCTGGGCCGTTTTATTTCCAGGATCAACTTGATTAATGTTTAACATATTATCTTACAAATGATAATTTAAGGTCTTAAATGATTGTTTAATTCACATTTGCGGATTTTTTTTATTTTAGGAGAGAGATAAAGCTGCAAGAATTATTCAATCAGCTGTAATCAGTTTTCTAACTAAACAACGATTGAAAAAAGAAGTTAATGGAGCACTTGTCATTCAGAAATGTTGGCGAAGAGTCTTAGCACAGAGAAAATTATTGAAGTTAAAAAAAGAGAAACTGGAAACAGTTCAACATAAAGCAGCATCAGTTATTCAGGTATAGTATCTGGGAATAATTTTAAATTTAAAAAATTTTAATGACTTTTTTTTAAGGAAACAGTCAAGTTCTAAAGAAATTTTCAGTGATTTGTTTTAGAATTCTTTACTCCTTAATTTGATGAATATTTCCTACCTGAAAAACTCTTAGGTTTGTTCAGCATCAGACTGAACATAATTGAATTGTGCTTTCTCTGATGAAGCAAACATTCTTTTTTTTTTTTTTTGAGTTGGAGTCTCACTCTGTCACCCAGGCTGGAGTGCAGTGGCTGCTCCCGGCCACTGCAACCTCAATCTGCTGGGCTCCGGCGATCCTTCCGCCTCAGCCTTCCAAGTAGCTGGAACTACACATGCACGCTACCACGCCCGGCTAATTTTTTGTACAGATGAGGTCTTGCCAAGTTGCCCAGGCGGGTCTCGAACCCGCGGGCTCAGGCAATCCACTCATCCCAACCTCCCAAGGCGCGGGATTACAGGCTGAGCCACTGAGCCTGGCTGAAGCAAACATTCTAATTCTGTACTCCTTGCTATCTTCTTTGTTTAATATTAGAGGCTTACAATCTTCTACTCCATGGGACATGTTGGCATATGGAACCATTCTGCTTTGTATATCTATTTAACCAACCAGGTTCTCTTTTTTATCTTTACTATGAGTCCTGAAAACTTCTCTTTTGGGATAAATGTACACATTTTTCTCTCTAATTTACTTAATTGGCTTTTTTTTTTTTTTTTTGAGTTGGAGTCTCACTCTGTCGCCCAGACTGGAGTGCAGTGGCCGCTCTCGGCCACCGCAGCCTCGACCTGCTGGGCTCCGGCGATCCTTCCGCCTCAGCCTTCCAAGTAGCCGGAATTATAGGCATGCGCTACCACGCCCGGCTGATTTTTTGATTTATTGTAGAGATGAGGTCTCGCTGCCCAGGCGGGTCTCGAACCCGCGGGCTCAGGTAACTACTCACCTCAGCCTCCCAAAGGCGCGGGATTACAGGCTGAGCCACCGAACCCGGCTTAATTGACTTTTAATGGATATATTAGTCTATAGAATGCCTATGTAATTTTTCTTTTTAGAAAAAAATGTATCTACTTTGCATAATATATTCTTAACATCTCTATAAGTTAGTTTTTGATATTAAATTATATTTTAGTAACATTAGAGAGATGTGCTAAATTTACTGTTTGTTAATGCCATGGAAGCGTCACCGTCTAAATTTGTCTGTTTTATAAATTTGAAAATTTTTGTGTCTGGCTACCATTATTGGTAAATGAGGAGTTCTAGCTTAATAAATTGTCTCTTGAATCTTTTTAAGATATAAAATATTACACATAGGAAATTGCACAAAACAAAAATGTAGAATCTAATGATTTTTCACAAAGTGTATACCTATGTAACCACCACCTAGGTTGAGAAATAGAATATTGCCAGTCTCTCAGAAGGCATTTCTCAATTAACCCTCCCACCCTAGTTCAAATTAACTGTTATGTTAATTTATGCTAATCATGTATTTTCCAATGTGTCCTCTTCAATCACAATAATTTAATTTTGCCTACCTTTTGAATTGTTATAATGGGTTCAAACCATATAAATTATTTCATTTGACATTATTAACATTGGCATTTTTGAGTTTTATCTGTGTTGTTGAGTATAGCTATAGTTTAATTTTCTTCTTTACTATTTCTCACTAATCTGTTTTATTGTTGAACATTTGACTTTCCAGTTTGAGCTATTATGAAAAAGGTGTTATAAATGTGTCTTTGGGTGTGAAATGTATTTATTCCATTCAGTGTATACTTAGGAGTACAGTTGTTCTTCGGGTATATAGGCATACTTTGTTTAATTGTACTTCATAGGTCTTAATTTTTTTGCAAATTTAAGGTTTGGGATCACCATGTGTTAAACAAATCTGTAGACAACTTTTTCCAATAGCGTGCACTCAGTTCAAGTCTGTGTTACATTTTGGTAATTCTCAAAATAATTCACACTTTTTCATTTGACGCTAGGGCGATCTGTGGTGAGTGATCTGTGATATTACTACTGGTGTTTGGCTGTACCATGAAACGTGTCTATATAGAAAACTAAACTGATAAAAGTTTTGTGTGTTCTGACTGCTCCACTAATCGGACTTTCCCCATCTCTCTCCCTCTCCTCTGGCCTCTATTCCTTGAGACAAAACAACACTGAAATTAGGCCAGTTTGATGATCTTACAAAAGTGAAAGGAAGAGTCTAATGTCTCTCACTTTAAATTAAAAGCTAGAAACGAGCCGGGCTCGGTGGCTCCGCCTGTCATCCCGCGCCTTTGGGAGGCTGAGGTGAGCGGATGGCCGGAGTCCGCGGCTTCGAGACCCGCCTGGGCCGCGAGACCTCATCTCTACAGTAAATCAAAAAATCAGCCGGGCGTGGTGGCGCGCGCCTGTAATTCCGGCTACTCGGAGGGCTGAGGCGATCTTGAGGCCGAAGGATCCCTGGAGCCCAGCCAGAGCCCGGCAGGTCGAGGCTGCGGGGGCCGGGAGCGGCCGCCGCCCTCCAGTCTGGGCGACAGAGTGAGACTCCGACTCAAAAAAAAAAAAAAAAAGCTAGAAACGACTAAGCTCAGTGAGGAAGGCATGGTAAAGGCCAAGATGGGGGGGGGAAAGTTTAGTTACGTCTTTGTACAGAGCGGTTAGCCAAGTTGTGAATGCAAAAGAAAAGTTCTCAAATGACCTTACAAGTGTTTCTTCAGTGAACACACAAATGATAGAAAAGCAAACATACTTATTGCTGATAAGGAGAAAGTTTTAGTGGTCTGGATAGAAGAGGAAAGTAGCCACAGCCTTTCCAAATTTGACCTACCATGTGTTTTTATAAATGGAGGTTTTTAGAACTCAGCCACACCCACTTGTTTTGGACTGCGTTTGCATGACAATAGTAGAATTGATTTGTTGCAACGGAATTGGTCCACAAAGCAGAAGATATTTGCTATCTGGCCTTTTATAGAAAAAAGTTTGCTGACTCCTAATTTTGATGAATGTTTTATGTGTACTTAAGAAAGAATGTCTATTCTGCTGTTTTGGGGTGCAGCGTTCTATAATGTCAGTTAGGTCCATTGATTATAGTGTTCAGTTCTTTGTGTCCTTGTTGGTTTTCTTTCTGTTCATTTTCTGCTGAGAGGGAGGTGTGTCTCTGACATGGGGATCTGTCTTTCTTCTTTCAATTCTTTCTCTTTTTCCTGCATGTATTTTGAAGTTCTGTTGTTAGGTACAAACACATTTGGGATAGTTGTGGCTTTTTGATGGGTTGACCCTTTTGTCATAATCATAATCATAATCATAATGTCATGTCATTCTTTATCCCTGGTAATTTTCCTTGCTCTGAAACTTACTTTGCTAGCTATTAGTATAACCACTCCAGTTTTCCCTTGATTATCATTTATGAGGCATGTATTTTTTTCTTTTACTTTTTGCTTAACTAAATCATTGTATATGAAGTGGGTTTTTTAATGGACAGCTTATAGTTTTTGCTATTAAAATCTTTTAATTGGTACCTTAGACCATTGATATTTCAAATATTTATATATGTTTGAAGTTAGGTTTATTATTTTTTTCTGCATGTTCCCTCTCCTTCATTCTTTTCTTTCCCCTTTCCTGTTTTTTCAATTATTTTAATACTTTTAAATATTATTTTAGTTTATTTTCTTCTTTAGTATATCCCTTTATATAAGTTTTTTAGTGATTGTTCTAGGGGTTACAGGACACATGACTTTTATCCACTTAGAATCAACATTTTCTCACCACTCTCTAGTTCCTTACTCCCGACTCCACCGTATTTATGTTGTCATTCTTATTACACCTCTGTACATGAAAAGTCACACCAGGCAATGTTATAATTTTTGCTTCCAGTCATAACAAATATTTTAAAGCACATGTGGAGAATATTTCATTTGTGTAGATATTTTTCATTTCTATTACATTGCTCTCATTAGTCATGTTTTTAAAGTTCACTTACTTTTCCTTCATTCAAGAATGTGTTTATTTCACATTCATTCCTGAAACATATTTTTTGCTGATTCACAGTTCTTTTACTAAAAAAAAGTTTTGTCAGTTTTTTCCAGTCTTTATGATTTCTTATGAAATCATGTCATTTGAATCATTACTTCTCTATAGTTAACGTGTGATTTCTCTATGGCTACTTTTTCAGAATTTTTCTCTATCATTACTTTTCAGTGACTTGATTATTTTGTCTGGCCATGGATTTCCTTGAGTTTATCTTGCTTTGGGTTTATTGATCTTTATGAATATGTAATTTTATATCACAGTATTTGAGATTTGAATCAATTATATCCTTAAAAATACTTTTTCACTGCACTTTCTCTTCTCTAGGATTCTGTTTGAATTGTTAAAGCATTTGAATTTGTCCCATGGAGGCTTTTTTTGTGTGTCTTTTTATTTTGGTAATACTTTTTTTTAATGCAAATTATGAACCAATACTGATACATCATTGTAATCTAAAGTTTACTTTCTCTGCAGTTTTGCCTTTTTCAGAATGTCATTTAGCTTGAATCAGATAGTAGGTGACTTCTTTCACTTAGTGACTTGCATTTAAAGTTGTTTATGTCTTTTCCTGGCTTGATCGCTTTTTTTAAAATTAGTGAATAATATTTCATTGTGTCGATATATGAGGGGAACCCACGAAAAAATGGAATTAGTTTTTGGAGGGTGGGCCCTTTGTAGTATAGGCTTCTTCCACTAAGTGCTCTAGAACCCATTGGCATCAGTGTAGTAGTTAGTGTTATTATGAGAGGCTGTGGTTGGCTTTAGTGAATTTCTTTTGATGATTCTTTCAACGCACTTGCCCATTTCATGATGGATGATTTACAAATGCACCTGCCCACACAGCGCTGAGTGTTCAGCAGTTTTTGACCAAAAACATGACCCCTGTACCCCATCATCCCTATTCACTCGATCTTGCCCCTAGCAACTTTTTTGTTTGTTTGTTTCCCTGGATGAACAAAGTCCTCCAGGGGAAATAT